CATCAGATCACCAGGCATTAGTTAAATTCTCATAAGGAGTCCACAACCTAGATCCCTCTCATGAGCAGTTCATAGTAGGGTTCAGGCTCCTATGAGAATCTAATGCCACTGCTCATCTGACAAGAGGCAGAGCTCAAGTAATAGTGCTTACTCGAAAGCCACTCACCTTCTGCTGTGCAGCCCAGTTCCTAACAGGCCGCAGACTGGTGTGTTGGGACCCCTGCTCTAGAGGGAACATGTGTGTTTATGCATGTGTGCGTGTGTGTGTGTCCCTTATTCTTTAGGGACTGGGGTTTCCTCAAGGCAATTCTTTATCTACATCCAGCTCATGCCCAAATTCAGGCCTTCTGAACCAGGAGATCCCTGCTACATTTCTTTGTGTTTGTTCAGTAGTCTACTATCTATTTAAAAATTGTTTTGAATAGATTATCTTTAAATCTCTCAAGGATCTTATGTTATAGACAGTTTTGTTGTTTTTATTTTACAAAAGAGGAACATAGGGTTTAGTGAGATTAAGTGTTTTTCTCCAAGTTAGAGCCAGTAAGCGCTAACTGGATCTCAAACTCAGGTCATCTGACTACAGATCCTCGCCTCTGGCCCCTACGCAACAGCTGCAGGATTCTGACATATATTTCACTTTCAAGCAGAGGATATTATTCATAACAGCTACTCAATAAATAATTGTTGGTTTATTTATCTCATTTGCATAGGCCAGACCATATGTTTTGGAACTAGTTTAGAAGGCAGGAACTTGGAGATCATATATAAATTTTACCAGGTAAACCCATACCTAATCAAATATAATCAGAGGGCAGAGGTTTCTGAATTATTCTTTGTAAACATCCGGCTATTGGTGATGCTGTGATTGACTAAGAGGCAGTGGGGAAAACATACTATAAGCCAACATGAAAGAGATAAGTGTATTAACAGACTGGAATTCCAACTTTGCCCTTCCTTCCAGTGAGTTTAGAGCAGCCTTTCCTACTTAGCTACACCCACCTCCTCTCGCTTCCTTTCTTGCCACTTACCAGAAAGTAATGATTGCTGTGGTTTTCCCTGGCAGAATTAAAACAATGGGCAAAGAACAATCCACTCATAGAGGCAGAAGGAAAGGGAAAAGGATAGAAAGAATGAGAACCAGAAAGGGGTGGGAAGTGTGAATCTTGCAAAAACAATGTGGAGGAAGCAACTCAGAAGATTGTTCATGGCAAGAATGAAATATGTTGATAATGCATCTAGCAGGAGAATATAATATGGATAATGTAGTTCTCTGGGATGAGAGAGCAAAAGATTCCAGAGGGTTAGATGCATCAAGAATTAGAAAAATTCATGGAGCTTCTAGGAATAATGACTACGAACTAGGTATTTCCATCCCCATCAGATGTTTGTTCTGGAGACTTAAATAGATAGATATAGAAATTCCTAGTTGAACTACATTTCTTTGAAAGCAAAATAAGTTTATAACTGAATGTAGGTGCCCAGATTTAAGAATGTTACATTAAGTCTGGTTAATATATATCAAGTGACTGAAAAATATCCGTCATCCTGCCTTTGTGTTGGTCACAGTGTCTGTCATTATAGTGCCTTCACAGGGATCATAATTATTTTTTCTTTCTAAATAGCATTTTTAGTTGTAGCTATTTTCAGTATAAGGGTAAATAAAATTTTGCATGTTGAAGTCAACAATCTCAAGCCAAGACATAATGTCTGAATTAATGCCATTATTCTCAGGATAAAAAATAATGATTTCTTAGTTTTGAAATTGCAGACTAATATCATACTTTCAAGCTTATATATGAAACCATTTCTATTCTTAAACAAAAGAGCAGGATTTCCTTTTCCATCCAATTGCCTCATGAGCTTTGTCTTTCCACTTCTCCCACTTGTCTTCCCACTCCAAATATTGAGTATGAATGTGGGGCCACTGATTCAATTATTTCAGTGTCAGATTGTTTGCTTCAGCTGTCATAGGGCTAAATATGTGGCAATTTATTGGATTAAAAATACGTGACATCAAAATGAACAGAATGTGTCTGATCTGTCATTCACCTGTGTACTGTACACTACAAACAATTGATCTGTTAGGCCATCAGAAAAGCTGGAGCCCACTTTCAAATTCTATTAATCTTATACAGAGTAACCTATTTTACTTAAAAAATGCACTGAGTTGAAATTCGCCCTTGCTGCCATTTCTGCTCCCCTATTCCAAGAACCTTTCAATTAAAAAAATAAACCACAGAATTTCCCTTATTTTCTATAGCTAAGAGAAAATTATTTTAATTTTATATAAAACTTTAAAGGGATAATTTATCTCTGTCTTCACTAATCAAAACTCAAATTTTTAAAATATTGGTACCTTTTCTGTTACGATAAGTACGTTATTGAGAGAATTGGATGGCAGTGGGTGGAAATCGGAACGTTTTATTTGAGTTATATGTCATTGTACACAGACTCTTCAATGTAATTTACTTCTGATAACTTTTCCACATGTCAACATTTAGAAATAAAATGTCCATGCTTTAGGTAGGCTTGCAAGTTTATTTCTTAAAAGCCCAAGAAATCTCTGGTTTTGTTATACAATATGAACAAGATATCCTTGTTCCACTTTCAAAGAAATGTAAAATTGTTTCTGATTCCAGATAACTCAAGTAATTCTAAGTATTTTTATAAAATAACAATACGCAATTTCCACTAGACTTAGAGTCATAAAATCATTACTGTTACTGTGAAGTTTCTTAACAATTTAGTTTGGACTTGAATACTTGTGTGGGGGATATATTGCCTGTGACATCTCTAGTCCTCTGGTTTAGTTTCAACAGGAGAGGGAAAAGAATAGAATTAAAGCTCAAGAAAAATCATTAGCAATAAAAAGAAAAACAGATAAATTATACATGAGAAGAAGGAAACAATATTTTGCAGGCTACACAAATCAAAGTTCTGTTAGACTCTCTCTTGCTCTAAAGCTTACAATTTCCTGTAGAATCACAACCAAACGCTTCAGTAATGTCATCAAGTGTCCACATAGTTGTTCACATTTGATTTTCACCACTCCTCCTCAACAACTTATATTGCACCTAGTCCAGCTTATACTGCGCTCCATGTCACACCAAAATGCCTGCATTTTTTCCAACTTGATGCTTTTTCTCTTGCCATTTTCCTTTCCAGAATGTAGCAATTCTATTCAGGCTATTCCTGCTCTTCTCCACTGCAGTCCAATTGAATATGTTTAAGTGCACTCTCCCCTATGATGTCTTCCTTGATTCAGCCAGAAAAAATCTCATTGCTATATTCTGAAAGAATTTTGTGACTTTCTGTACTTATTCATCATATTCTAGCTTTTATTATGGTTGTACACTTTACTTTTTTTTTAATATAGATTCTAGAATTCTTAAGAGTAGAGAAGATACTTTATTCATTTTTGTATCTCCCGGTAATCCTAGCACAATACCATACTGATAGTAGGAGATGAAGAAATATTTGTTGCATTCATCTGAACTGAATTTACACTAACTCCTTGGGGAACCCAATAATCAAGATTTAAGATTTTTAGTGTATTTAATAGACTTATAACCACTAAAGAAAAATTAGAGTTTTTAAAAATTAGTCATGAGCATATTTCTCAAAACGTTGTGATCAAATGTTGGAGTAGGTAAAAAACTGGAGTCTGCTTGTGTGTTCCTAAGAATACACATTGGATGTGATTATGAAAAATTACTAGGTAGATGGCTTTGGGGCTAATGATTTTGCAAGTTATTCAAATTGTCTGTCATTTAGAAGTGGCAGACCTTAGTGTTCCTTCCACCTTGACTGAACTTAAGGCTTTTATCCGAAGGAGCTCTTCAATCTGGAGACAAAGTTGTATAACTTTCTTAGTAACCACCAGGTACCTGGTAGTGAACTGTGTTCTACCATTGGGACAAATGCCTTCTAATATTTTTCATATTCCTGGTCAGTGACTTAAAAAAAAAAACCTACCCAATTGCAGTCTGCCATTCAAAAGGAATATTTCTGCAAAGAAAAAGATGTGAAAATGTAGGCATTCAAGTGAAAATTCAATCCTTCACAGTACAGAGCCTCTGCGAAGTCTTTTAAATGACCCTTTTTATCATGGTGCCATGTCTGTACCTTTTTGAATAGTGAGACCTGGTAAGAAAAATAGATGTATGTATACAAGTGGTTGAGTAATGTATTACTCATATGCACTTTGTTCTTTTTGGCAAACTGACCTTATCAAAGGAAAGAAAGCTATACATTGTGACAAGCTGAGCTTTACCAGAAAGTCTGAATTAGGAGTGCAAGTCCTGTGTTATCTGGATTAAAATATGATCAGGAAAAAAGGAAATCATCATTTAACCTCTTCAGAAGTAGAGATGCTGAAAAATTGACTTACTTTTAAGTCAAAACCTAAGCTTTCTTATTACATTTGGACTTAGCTGTCAGAGATGATTTGCATTAAAACAATCATATTTTTTTCTTCTAAATACTTGTCTGCTTTTTTGATGTTAAAATAAACAGTGTTAGATTTTTTTTTTTATTGTCTATGCTTTACAGAGGACTCTTATAAGAGGCTGGTGATGAAATATTCTTCATCAGTTTCTCCAGGACAAATGCCGTGCCTTATTTTCTACCTCTGTGGATGACATTTAAATAAACAGTTAAATTTTTGCGTTAATATTGGATAGTAATTAAAAGGCATTAGTAATTATTTTGGATGCACGCCCCTTCCTGAAAGTAGTTTTATTTACAACTATTTCCTCATGCTCATTTAACCCATTTTAGTGAAAATATTAAATTATTCTAAAAGCTAGTGAAATCATAATGAACCGAATTCATTCCTTTAGAAATAAACGGAGCCATGGAATTCAAACTTGCTCATCTACAGATCTTTTTCCTTTGTAATAAACAAGCTCTTTTCAAATGAGTACATAAAGATGGACAAAATAATCTGGAATGGATAAAGCCAAGAGGGGAAAAAAAAAAGACATTTTACATAGCACAAAGACACAGAAAACTATTGCTATTTTATTCACAGTAAAAGAGTGTGTGTTGCTGCTGCCCAGTTACTGTGCATGTGAATTCACCAGATCTAGACGTATTTGCCCAATTAATTACTCTGCTGTTCGACAATGATGGGTAATGGTCCAAGCAGCCTGCTCCTCCTCAGATCACCGATGGAATTCATGCAGGCATAATGTCCTCTCTTCATACAGGATCCCAACAAGCTCTATAATTACTTTTTTTTTCTTTTGAAATAAAGGCATTGATTCAATTATATGTTAAAACAGTTTGTGGGAGAAGAAATGGAAATGAAACAGGATCTCTCTCGCTACCTTTCTGGGTAGAAGCTGGAAGACGAACTTCCCCATTCTACTCTTTCCAGGAGCGAACTTCAATATTAACAAATAATGGCTGATCAAAATTGTTCATCATTACCCTTAATTAGTCTGTTGGTTTTCAATAGTTTTCTTCATTAATACAGATGAAGGTGTGTTCTTCCACGTTCAACGACATGCTATCCCTCCGTGCTAGTAAGCTTATGATGTAGCAGATCAAACAAAGAAGCCTCCTGTACAAATGCACAGCAGTCCCCGTAAACTAGGGTTAATTAGCATTGTAATTAGCTCACGTGATGACTAAAACAAAGTCAGAGTAACCCAGGAATCACTTAGAAAGGATACCAGGTGGTGTCGTCCCCCTTCACCCGCCAGCCTCCTGCCCCTGTTTCTAATACTGGGTGGAGCCCGGGGCCATCCTTCTTCCCAGCTCCCCACTCCCCAGCTCCCCAGCTCCCCAGCTCCCCAGCTCCCCAGCTCCCCAGCTCCCCAGCTCCCCAGCTCCCCACCTCCTGGTGGCCGCAAGCCAAGTTCTCTTCCCAGGCCTGAAGGTTAAGGGATGCGCAGGACTTGACTGAGGCTGCTGTAAAGATGTTGTTAGGGTATTAGTGTAGTGCACTAAATGTTGCCAGTTAAAGGTAGCTTGTAAAAAAAGAGCTTCCCCCTTTGGCTTTTCGGGAATTGGCAGACACAGTTCGCTTTGTAAGCAGGAGAACTGGAAGCAAGAGTGGAGACTTGGGCTTCTTTTCACGCAGATTTATCAGCTTACTTAAGGGTAAATGTTAAGTATAATTTGTGGAGTTCTACTCATACACTTATACACCAACATGCCTTATAAAACAGAAGTCCCTAAATGGGCCCACGTGCCTAATGATTTTCTTTGGAATTTTACAATGTAACAGCTAAGGCATCTTCCTACTTGATGCAGGATTCTTTCTAATTTTATCCAATTATGAAAAAAAAAAATTCCAAAACTTTATTCAGAGGAAGTGAGGACAGACACCATCAATGAAAACCAAAAAGGGAAAATGACCATTGTAGGGAAAAAAAAAAGTCAATAATTGGGATAGCACTAATCCATTCTTTAAATAACTTTGTGTCACTTAAGATTAACGTGTTTTCACTCTTTATTATATTTGATCCTTACAACCACCCTGAAAAAGAAATGCAGAAGTTGTTTTAATTCCCATTTTACAGAATGGAAAATGGTCTCATTACCTTCTGAGTGACAGAGAATGTAATCAACAGACAGCATAACTCTCAGGCTTCCAGTTCAGCGAGGCTCCATTATGCCAAACTGACTGTGCTCGAGGCCAAAGTCAGTAATGTTGGTCTTTTATTTTTTTAATTAGTCTTGGTTTAACTTAAACTCAGTTATTATTTCTAATGTAAACTGTCTTATTTTAAATTGTTTTTAAAGTTATATTTAAGCCCATTTCAGCACAAAAATATCAACCATTATTGAAAAAATTAAATACATAAGAAAAATATTTTCAAAAAGTATTCCAATCCGAATCTATATACAAGGTGAGGAAACTTTCAGAGCTGTTAGTAAATGCGAATCATAGAAGCTAATTTTATTATAATACATTTAGCATCATATAAAAATATCTCTGAGTCATGGTACATCCACATCTTTCTACTGATAAGAATAGGATTTCCTGAAGCTCTCAAATACTGCATTCTCTTTTTCTAGTACCAGTGTTTTATGCATAATTTGGAGAAGTAGTTGTGTATGATAATTGCTCCAACTTTAAAAGTATATTCATGTGGTTAACATGCATGAAAAGATAAAAATTTTGACCTAACTGATGCATCGATGGTCATTAGGTCTATTTTCACCTCAATTTAGTCTGTTTAATAGAATTGTATCAATTAGTTTCCAAAACAGCAGATCCAGTCCTATGTTAGATGTGGCTTAAGTGGCAGGATTAGACTGTTGATCCTCAGGATTGATGGTGAAAGCTTGGTAAATATTCATAAAATGTTGAGATTTCCTAACAGATTAATCTGAAAGAAATGAATACATTATTAGTAAAAACTTATATTCCTATCCTGTGTAATATATGAATAATTTTAATAGAGATGCAAGCTGTTTTTGGTATTTACCACAAAATTAAGTATAAATAAACTTGCTCCAAACATAAAAGAAAAATAAGGAACCTAAAGATAGGCATTTGGAGTGCCTATTGAGAATTAGCTCATCCACAACAAAAGATGTATTCTCTTCTTATACTTTTTTTGTCTTCTTTTATGAAAATATTGTCGGGAACTGCAATTTGTGGTGTATTGGCTATTATTTAGTGAGCTTAATTTTGACACGGGAACATAGGAATAAGCGGGCAGAAAGGCAATCAATGGTAAGTGAAGATAAGACTGATGCAATAGACTTCCCTCTCCAGTCTCCAGATTTAATTCGTGTTAGAAATGGAGAAAGGAAAATCCCAATGCAGATTTCTTTTTAATTTTCACACTGAAAAAAACAATTCTGAGCCATGTTTTTTACATAATTTTGAAACTTAAATAAAAAAGACACAGGCACCAATTTTCAAAACAGGCACCAATTTTTCAAAACCTGGCAGTGTGAAGCAGAATATGATATCCTGTACTTACCAATCGAGTGTGGAAGCTGCATTTGACAGATCAGTTCAATGAAGTAGTATTTTTTAGGAAAAAATCAAGGATGAAAGAAAATACAGTTATTATAATTGAGATATAAAAATAGGTCCATCTCTGTGGGGCAAACTAAAATTATAAATCAGTTCGCAAACATAAATACAAACTAGCAATATTAATATGCAATGTAATCTATTACATTCACTTTATCATACTACTGTTTTTGGTTTATTATATTATTATTGTACTTCATGATAGTACATTCATTCTCTGCCTCTTTTTTATTCCCTACATCTGGGTTCCAAGGGCAAGCTTCTTGACCCCCTGAAATTGCATGCAGATTTTCGTGTGTGTGTGCAACAGTATAGGTACATTTGTGAGAAAAGGATCCACAGTTTTTGTCAGACTATGAAGCCTATGACCCCAAATGATTAAGATCCAGTATGCTGTAGCTTATTAAAAACAACTTCCCAGTGATTTTTTTTTTCCCTTTAAAATTTCTCTGTGCAGACTTTCGGTGCTTCACACCCCAACTATGCCAGTAATCTCCCAGCTGCCTTCCCTCCCTCCTGCCTCCTTTCTCCAACTCATCCTCTATAACAAATGCCACCAGATCAATCTTATTGAAACATCATCAATATCATGTCTCAAATCCACTAAAAAACAAGTTTAAAAAAACTGATATCTTTCACTTTACTTACAAGGTCAAGTTCTGATATTTTGGCATTCAAATCTATTTCATATCAGGTTCTCCGCCACCTCTACTGATAGTAGCTGACATTTACAAAGTGATGCTAATGTGCCAGGAAGTGTACCAAGTGTCTTACATAAATGGACTCACAAAATCTCCCAAATGGCTCTGTAAGATGCTTTGAGACTTCAGAGGTACAATCATCAGCTAGTAAGTGATAGATCTAGAATTCAAACCCAGGAAGTTTGACCCTGCATGAGATTTTAGCCATGATGTCTCCTGCCTACTTAATTTACTTCTTGCCAGTATCAACCTTCCACTCCAGACAGCTGAGAATCCTCACTGTCAACTGAATAAAGCACATATCTAACCTCAAGCATTTTTCATACTTCGCCCTCCCCATTCTCCAAGATTGTACTCAAGTCTCACATTTAAGTGAATAACGCATTCATTATCTCTTCTGTCTTGGAACCATAACATCTATAACATTCACTCAACTACACCCCTTCTGTTACTCATATACAATTTTGCATTACGAATTTTCTCTAACTGGACAGTAAGCAACTGGTGGGCAGGGTTTTGATCTCGCATTTTTTGTTCTCTCATCTTCAGCATATAGATCAGTGCTGTTCATCAAGTTTGCATTTGAAAAATACTTATTGAGGGAGTAAATTAACCTGAACTTCTAGAGAGTGTCATGTTTGAAAAATGATACTGTAATTAGTTCTCTAACATTCTATTATGCCTTGATAAAAGCTCCTGTGTATGGTGGCAGGTGGGCTTATGAGCTATTGTTACCATGCTAAAACTGGCTTCTTGTGTTGTCTCAGTTTGCCTGGGGTAAATCTCATAGAGTGCCCCGTGTGTGCATGTGGGGTAGAGTAGAGGGGGATATTCATTTTCATGTAAAAATGATACAAAATTACCAGAAATTTTAATGCAAATTTTTTTTCCTTTAAAGGAATTTCAGGGCCAATTAGGTTAGCTCACTCTCAAGAAAAGGATCTGGATCCTTGGCATTTGCTTGGCCTGCTTCACTAAATTGATTTAGTGAAGAATCTCTCCCTGATAGAGTCAGAACAAAGTAGGCCAAGCAAACTCCAAGGATCCAGATTACAAGACAGTTATTGGGAGTGGTTAGATACTTAGTTCTTTTCATTCTTCTTGGAGCTAGCTGTAGTACAAGTTTCTAGTGCTAAGCCAATGTCAAGGTGTCTCATCTTTATATCTCTCAGACGCTGATCCTTCCTCACCATCAGACACTCCAGAAGCAACTGACAAACAAGGAAGAAAGGAATCCACCCATATGCTTGAGAAACCAATTCTCTCAGCTAGGCAGAACTGTCTGCACTGAAACTCTGTTTTCTTCTCTTATGTACATAGAAAACCTTGTGTCTAGTGAAAACACATATTACCCATTTTATTATCCAACCTTTAGAAAAGTGTGATATGGAAGATATTTTGTATAATAAATTATAGTAGATCTGAATAATTATATACATACGGATATGCACGTTTATATCAGGATGCTTTCACTATCTTAAAAATCCTTTTGAAATGTCTAAAAGTAACTCATTTTGAAGCATCTAATCATTCAGTGGATAACACCCAGGGCTTGGATACATCACTATAAATGACTCAGCTTTCCATTTAATAGTTGAAAATGCAGGGCTTAGACTAAATCAGGAATCACTTACATGCCTACAGACAGAAGGCAGATAATGAATGCTTGAGTAGGTTTGGAGGAAATCTCTCTAAGAAGTACTGAAGACTGGGGCAAATTGGAGAAACTATGCCCCGTCTAAAGAGAATGGCAAATGTTCAGTCCCAGGTGATTTTATCTTGCAGGAAAGAAGACCCACTGTTACAAAACCTTCTAGTTTTTCTGAAGAAGCAAGATTTTTTAAGAATGTGAAATGCCCCGGGTTTTGAACTAAAAGAATAAATCTGGTTTTGAGAACTGGGCAGGCCAAACAAAGCATATGTGAGAATGGGTTCTGTTCTAGAAGCTACCAGTTTATTGCTGCAGACTAGATAACCCATGCCTGGTTTTTTAACCCAGGTATTGTGTAGTTATACATGCAACTGTTTCTCAAGTATACTGTCTCAAAAAACCCTTAAAATTGAAAATATTCAGTTGATAAAAGCATGGTTGAATTAAGAACATTTCCTCTTAGACTCTCTATTAAAGACATTGGAAAATGGAGAAATAGGAATAATTATACTGTACTGTAACTTCAGCAAAACTTTTCATTCTGGTCCTCACGTTGTGCTCACCCATAAACTCGGGTTAAAATCAACTCTGGTTAAAAATTTCCAAATGAATATAATACTGTAGCCTGAGAAAGGGTCCAAGGGAAAAGTTGTCAGACTCTGGACCAACCCAGAAAACATTAAACATATATTCTGTGAGAAATAGTCTTGACCCCATCTTGTTGAACAATAACTTACTGACTTATATGAGAGAATGGCATGTTTCTTTTTATTCTAAGACTGGAACTGGACTTGATGACCTGCCATCCACTTGGCTCAGTCCTAACTGCTGAACAGGGTAGCTCCTCTTTGGAGCATTCTGCTAGGTACCTTAGAATGATATCACGGAAAATTAAAGAAATAAAAATTGCTTCCACTTTAAAGACTTTGCATATTACTTAAGATATTAAGCACATATGTGAAATAAAATAACAAGTTTATTGCATAAACTGATATAGTAGAAACTAGTGCTGAGCAGTGCCAAGACAGAGGAATTCAATCAAGTGAGGTAAACTACCACACACTTCCAGGAGGTGAGTGCGAATGTTGAACAGACTTTGAAGAAGTCTGGTCAGGCAAGGCAGAGATAAACAAGGCATGCTATGTCTACTGTGTTTTATGTTTAAAGTAATAAGAAGAATGAATCAGATACAAAACTCTCTAGACAAATGTGATAAGTGGCAGCAGATATGAACAAGGAAAAAGTGGCATCACTCCACAATTCATAAAATGGAACAATTATGCAAAATATTTGAGAGAATAATTATCAAATTCATCCATTAGAGTTTGTTTTAATATTGTATTAAATCCAGTTTGTTAGCATCATGACCCTTGATTTCTACCAAAATTGAACGTTTTGATTATTAACATACCTGATAAAAGTTCTATTTCTGCTTTTGCTAAGAAGTTAATACTACAAATATACTGTTACTTACACATCCAAATTTAGTTCAGTTTTTTTTTTTTTTTTTTTTTTTTTTTTTTTTTTTTTTTTTTTTTTTTTTTTTTTTGTGAAACAGACGCCAGGTTTAATGGACGGCACAGGCACCCCAAGAAGTCAGCTCTGTGGGTACTGTGGGCTCAGAGCACCCAGGTCACCACGGGCAGGTCCAGGCCTTGCCCGGTGAGGGACGGAAAGGGAGGGCCACTGCAAAGGTCCAGGGTGAGTCCACGAGCAGATAGAGCCCTGCAGCCCACACTGCTGTGGCCAGGTGTGCTGTGCAGGACGCTCTGAGGGGACAAGGGCAGCAGCCCGGGGCGCAGGAAGGAAATGCATCCCCTCAGAGCTGGGGTGAGAGGCCGGAGGGGCAGGTGGGGGATGATGGCCACCAGGAGGCAGCCTCACAGGCCATCCTTTGCGAGCCTGTACACCCGCTTCACCCTGGCATAGGGCCCCAGGGAGTCCTGAAACACAAAATCCCAGAGCACCCTCACCCATGAGGAGTGCTGCGGCAGGTGGTCGTAGTACTCGGGCGCAATCTTCCGCACCAGGGGCAGGTTGCAGCCTGGGATGCTGGGGAAGTCGTGGTGCTCCACGTGGTAGCCCACATTGAAGGTGATCCAGTTGAGGGGCCCGTAGTAGGAGTAGGTCTCGTGGCCCTTGAGGAACATGTAGTGCTCGGCCACGAAGTGGCCTGAGATGGGGTGCAGGCCCAGGCCCAGGAAGGAGCTGGCCAGCAGGTAGACCACAGGCTTGAGCCCCCACAGGGCAAAGATGGCCACGTCCGCCACCAGCTGCACCAGTGCATTGAGCACCTCCATGCGGGTCACGGCCCTGGGGTGGACACAGAGCGGCCTCAGTGAGTAGAAGAAGGGCTGCAGCACCAGCCAGAGCAGCTTGCGGGTGGGCGTGCAAAAGAACCAGCCCTCCAGGCGCGTGGGCACGTCCACATCCAGTCCGTCGCCACCCAGGTAGCGGTGGTGGTCCACGTGGTACTTCTTGAAGGAGGCGGCGTAGGGCACACCCACAGGCAGGTTAGCGAACACGGCCAGCCAGCGGTTGCGCGCAGCACAACCGGTGCCAAAGGCTGCATTGTGTGAGATGTCGTGGATGGCCAGCGTCAGCGAGTGGTTCACGCAGCCGCCAAGGGTGTAGGCCCAGAACAGCAGCCAGCGCCAGGCCAGCCCGCGCACCAGCCAGCAGGCCAGCAGCTGCGCCAGCACCAGCGCCAGCACCGTCCACTTGAGGCTCGGGTCCGGCCGCATCAGGGCCTTGATGGCCGGGTACTTGGCTGCAGGGAAGACGGGGAGGTGTGAGGCCCTGCCCAGTGGGGCTGCACCCCGCCCTCCTCCGCACGCTTCTTCCCACGGCAGTGGCCGAGGAGAGAGGGTGGGAGCAGCCAGCAAACCTCACTGGTCCCTTTGCCCCTGGACACAGAGGCCAGTCACACTCAGTGCTGCCCGAGGGCCTGCTGCCTCCTGCCCTGGCCGAGCCTTATCCTGCCAGACTCAGAGGGCAAGACTCCAGCAGGGGCGCATGCAGCCCACACTGGCCTTCCACATCCCAGCTGTTCCCACCCCGCAGGTCCAGGCCAGCGGGGACGCCGCAGAGGCTGTGCCTGAGTGCTGCCTGTGTGCTTCCTGGGGGGGGCCCCAGCCCCGGGGTGCGTGCCTAGCGCCTGCAGCAAAGTAGTCCCAGGTAGGGAAGCAGTGTCTCCTGTGTAGCAGGCCAAGGGGGCCTACTGGCAGCTCCCGCTCAGGAAGGCTCTGGCCCAGGCACAGGACCAAGAAAGTCGCATGCAAAGTCTCATTTGCCTGCCTGGATGTAAGCGGACTGCAAACCCGAGGGCTCTACTGCCTCCCTCTCACCCAGGGATGCCCCCCACCCCCAGGGCAGTGGCCAACCCTCCTGGGGACCTGCCAGTTCCAGGCCTACCCCCACCCCATCCTGTCTTTCCCAGGCAACCAGTCTCTGCTTCCTCTTGGAAGGAGGCCAAGCCTCGGGGCAAGAGGGAGGGGCAGACCACACCTGGTCAGGTGAGCCACACACCCAGGTGAGCTCTGGGGAGGGCAGGCCCAGGCCTCCAGCGCTTGGGTACAGGCAAGCATAGGCCACTCCTGTGCCCCTCAGAGGCGAGAGCCACAACAGAGCCTGGCAACCCTGACCTTGGAGAGTGGGCCTCAGTTTCCCCATCTGCTGAACCAAGATACTAAGTTCTACCTGTGTGGGGCACCCTCAGGGTCCCTCACCATGCCCTGTACAGCCCACCTTCAGGGAGCCCCGTGCCCTTCCTGCTTTTCCCAGCACCTTGAAGGACTCAGCTGCCCCTCCGAGCCCCAGCCTTCCCTCAGGGGCTCCACTCTGGACCACCAGAGAGAGGAGAAACCTGCACACAGAAGGACAGCAGTGCCCGCCCAGCCCAGCTGTGGGCTGGTCCTGTCTCCCACAGACCCCAGAAACAGCCACTGGGCTGGCACATCCTACAGGCATGCCCCATTTTTTCGAGTGTGTCTGCCAAGGTGTTTCCAGACTGGGAGCAAGTAATTGGACTGAGTGGGGAAGGCCTGCCCTCAATGTGGGCCAGCACCATCCAATCAGCTGGGGCCCCAACAGAACAAAAAAGCAGAGGCAAAGGTTTTCCCTCCCTCCTCTCCTTCCTCCCCTCCTTCCCCCCTCTTCCCCCCTCTCTCCTTCCCTTCCTCCTCTCCTTCCCCCCT